CTTCTACATACACACCTGTATGTTTGGCACAAGTCTTTTGTGATTGCTAGGTAATTGCAGAATCATTTTCAAAACCTTTCCTGGAAAGCAGATTGAAAACAGCTCTATAATAGGCAGAAAATTATTTTCCCCAGTGCAAGAACTAACTCATCTGTTTATTGATGAAGAGCCACATGTGTCCTGGTGTCTTCATCGTATAAAGCATGGAACTGCTTGCCATTCATCCCTTGTTTATGTCTGGATGATTGGATGCATCCTTAAATGACCAACATCAAATAGAATGCATTGCCTGCTTTCTGTGCCTGCACAGTCAGTAACATCTTTTAAAGAGGCTTCAAAAACTGATGACAACATAAGTAGGGATTGTGGCAGACACCAAGTCCACACAGAAACATTAGAATAGTAAGTCCCAATGCTAAAGCTTCAAACCTCCCCCCTCCTTTTTACTGTGTGTGTTTTTTTAATGGAAACAGTGGAGACCTGTTGGGGGGAGTAGTGGCCTGTTTTGGAGAGGCGGCAGAGGTTGTGCAAGAGCCATCTAGTTGTGTGAGAAATTGTAATTGTGCAAGTCAGACACATCCAGTTTCACTCAGATACATCTGAACAGCTAACTGAATAATTACGGTAGCTTCATCCTCACATAGTGAGAGCAAGTTGTGAGCCTAACCTTTGCATATTCAAGCATAATTTGTTATAAGCACTGTGGCTCACTTTTTCTCTGTCACCTTGTTCAGTGCTGAAAGCAGAATGATGACAAATACAATCAATTTTTTACAAGTGAAGTTTGCAGAGGAAGTTGTATAATGCAGGAGTTAAACTTTGAACATTCATTCTCTCTCCCCGACCTTCTCATATTTTTAGAGTATTATTTCTTTAAGGAGGAAACAAAGGAGTCCGGAAATGAGTTGAGCTACTAATCTAGGAGTATCTTTGAGATTCACCTCTGGGGACAAAGCCAAAAACACATAATGATGTCACATTGCTGATTTCCTGCACCTGTTTGAAGGCTAAATGCTTTCCTCTCCTATTAACAATTACAGCAATTGTAATTAAGGCCGTTCTGATTTCCACCCTGTGGAGATGTAAATGCACCTGCTAGAGGAGCTTCTATTAGAGCATGCTGTGCTCTTATGCGATAATAATTAAAAATCCTTAAAGCTGGCACGTGGCAAGTATTCCTCTCTTGTGTATTAATGCTGCCTGACACCTAATGTGGGTTTGCAAGTCGCTGAGATTGATGAATCCCGACTTGCTTTAGATGACTATATTAACTCTAAAAACACAAACCAATTTTGGCAATCCTGAAGGGCATTAGCAGTGCATGACAGGACAGGAGGTGCCATTTTGCCCTCATTCTCCCATATAGGATTTGCTTGAAGAAAAATGCCAAACCTCATTTTTCTGTCTTAGATATGAAATAATTGCCTTAAATACCAAACTGCTGGGCTGCTCAGTCTTTCAGATCTGTGTGCCACCCAAACTGGATTTACAGCAACACATAGCTGCAGTGGCATGTTATTTTAGACCTAAGTCTAGCATATCTGAATGTTCCCGGCTTACTACAATATCAGGCTTGTGTCCCCTGTAGCATGGCTCTCAGGAAATTGAAGACTTCACATCCTGGGAGGAGGGGCTAGACAGAGCACACTACTTATGCAATTCAGAGATGGAGCAGCACCCGGCTCCTCCTTTCTTGTTCCTTGGGATATTAAAGGCCTCTCTTCCCGGGAGGAAAGGCTAAAACACTCCATTCAGCAATGGGGACTAAATCTGGGAATGGGGGGAAAGGGAAGATTATCATGCAGAGGCAGCATGGCATAGTGGTTAAAATGTCAGACTATGATCTGGGAAACCTAGCTTTCAATCTCCAAACTGCCATGGAAGCTTGCTGGGTAACTTTGAGCCAGTCACACACTCTCAGCTTAACCTATCTCACAGGGTTGTTGTGAGAATAAAATGGAGAAGAGAACAATTTGTGTCCAGGTTCAGGCATGAACCTGGGGCAAGAGTACAGTTGCCAGGTCTTACCTGTGTGCCAGTGGAAGGCTCCAGCCTGGGTTCCTGGATCTTCTGGTCATGTGTACGGACCTCGATGATGCCACCTGGAAGTGACGTCATCACACAGGGCATGTCATGCTGGGGGTGCTCTAGCATTTGGCCAACAACTCTATAGTCACAATAGAGTTTTTAGCTAAAAGCTAGAGCGTCCCCCGTGCGATGTGCCCATCATCGTGCCAGGTACATCGGGTGTGATGGGGCTCTTTGGGGGCTACCCCCACCAGCCAGCTGGCTGTCTTACCTATGTGCCGGCAGAAGGCTCCAGCCTGGGTTCCTGGATCTTCTGGTCATGTGTACGGACCTCGATGATGCCACCTGGAAGTGACGTCATCACACAGGGCATGTCATGCTGGGGGTGCTCTAGCATTTGGCCAACAACTCTATAGTCACAATAGAGTTTTTAGCTAAAAGCTAGAGCGTCCCCCGTGCGATGTGCCCATCATCGTGCCAGGTACATCGGGTGTGATGGGGCTCTTTGGGGGCTCCCCCCACCAGCCAGCTGGCTGGCGGTGAATTGGGGCCCCTGAAAGTGGGGGAAAACCCTCCCCTATTAGGGGGATGGCAACCCTAGGCAAGAGGCAATAAGCATAGTCCAAACACAGTCCAGGATCAAAGCACAGATATTCAAAAGTCCAAGCATCAAACCAGGACAGATCTAAAAAGCACAATCCAAGTCACATTAGAGAAGGTCAAATACACTGCGGTCTAGACCATGGCATAGCAGTACACAAAGGGTTAGGGACAAGTTACTTCCACAGTGGCTTTTCTGGCTGCTTTTATCAGGACTCATTCAGGTATAGGTGCAACTCATCAACCTGATGAGTTGAGACCCTGCCAATTACGCTCCATCTGTCTCCTCTCAAGCATGGAGGCAACCTTAAAGCAGCAACTTCTCTTCTTCTACATAGCCAATCACCCCACTTCAAAAAAGAAGATGCTGTAAGGTTGCTTCCATGCTTGAGAGGAGACAGATTGAGTGCAATGGCAGGGTCTCAGTTAATTACTCTCAGTATTCCACAATTAAGGATACATCTGCCCATCAATCTCCAGTTTTGACATATTTATTTCCTTCACTGTGTTTCACCCCGGAATTAAACTCAAACAAATGGTAGCCATATAAACTAAGCTTGTTATTCCTGCTTGGTCCTTGAATCTGTTAAACATCTTCATTATGTTGTATGCTAATTTACTGCTCATCCTCTACCTATATGTGTGGACTGGAAACTTCCATTTCATTGTATCTGAAAAAGTGTGTGTGCAGATGAAAGCCTATACCTTGAGTAAAACTTTGTTGGCCTTAAAGGTGCCACTGGACTCAAACTTTGTTTCACTACATAGTAGTTTTGCACGTTGGTATGTTTTGATCATTGAAGAAAAGCTCTGTGTTACTCAAAAACTTGCACCTCCAGCATATTGAAAGCTGACCCACTAAAAGGAATTGCCATGTGCTGTATTTCTTGTTTGATGAGACCAGTGTCACTATTAAGAGGGATCTCCTCTTTTGAGTTGTCACAAGGCTTGCTGCTACAAGTTATGATATTTTGCTAACAGTGGTCCTCATGTTTAATCCTTTGCCCTTGTTTTCCTTGTGTAACACCTGTTTCATTGGTGTGAATGTGGCAATTGAATACATACTCAGAAGATCAGGTTTGCCTATAGTTAGAGTCATCCCATTAGTTTTTAAAAAGAAGAATGGTGTGGTACCTTACGCATTTTAGAAAAACTTGGTTTTTAAAAAAACTTTCCCCTGATGATGATGTTTAAATTCCAGTCCTGGGAAACAAATTGGTCTTATTGTAATGAATGGGAAAAGCTATTTGCAACTGATTTCAGCAGGGATAAATCACAGGGGACTTTCTCTGGACCATGTTCTAAGAGTTTGGTTTACAATATATTCAAGCACTGAGTGGTGAGCACATAGGGGGAAAGCTTTGCTCTGTCTGCGGTAAGCCTAGGATTTGTCAGACAAGTATTTTCAAAGCAGAGGATTTTTATTGATTTACTTTGTTATTTACCAAAGCTGGGCAGCTAAAATACCAGTTCAGTAGAAGCACATTTATTGGATTCTGTGGATCCCATGTCTTTTCAGGTGGGTTTATGTTCTTCAGAATAAGACAGTGGCAACTTTTAACTGTGTCTTGTGGTGCTCAACTGCCTTTGTCTTTTTATATATTTTTATATGAGCACTAATTCAAAATAGACTTAAAGGAGTTGTCCCTCTTAAAACTTTTGGGCAATTAAGGAGGACTGGTATTAATAAAGGGGTTGTGCAATATCTTTTGTGATATATAAAAAGATGATACTTAGATGTTTGGATATATGATTCTTTCTATGTGTTAATGTTTATATGATAATATGATGGTGAATAATTTATAAGAAATATAGAAAAATAATATAAAAATGAAAAAATATATTAAAACTACTTGAGATACTTTGTAATCATCTGTAGCATGGTATTTGCTGATTTTTGGTATTTCCTACTTACCGTGGGTCCTATTTTGGTCTTGTGAATAGCCTTTGTCTTTCTAACATCAAATGTTCAGAAGATAACAGACAAAACCCATGAGGTCACCTGTGGTCTTGTATGAACTGGAAAAATGGTGGTTTCAGTTTCTTAGATCACAAAATTAAAGGGGGGACTGCTAATATGAGTTGGTTGTTCCCAACACTGTGTTGCCACTGAAGCTAGAGCACTTGTAGAAGCAATGGCCAGTTTGATTGCTGGAATCTGTTCTGAAATCCAGCTTTTCAAGCCCAGCAGACCAATGCATTTTACATATGATAGTGGGCCTTTTGAAACTTTGTGGTAGAAGTGTAAACGCTACTGTGCACAGTTGGTTGTGTTGCAAGGGCAACATGTGGAAGAAACTAAAGACCAAAAGCCTTCTATCTGACAAGCCAACTGCTGGGTTAGTAATTGGTGTTTTCTTGTTCTGTTTCAGAGGGTTTGGCAGTTGGTGTTGGATTTGGTGCTGTTGGGAAGTCAGCATCTGCAACCTTTGAAAGTGCCAGGTAAGCTTGCCATGGGATTGTTATCTTTTATAACCTTGTTTCATGCAGAAAAGATCTCTTCCTGTACTGTTTTGAAAGCTTGGGTTAGGGTCTTCTTCACATTTGTTTTCAAGATGAAATGAAGAACTAATAACAAGACCCCTGAAAAGGCCTTGCTTGCTTACCATATCAATCAATCGACCTTTATTGGCGAAACATGCTTACCGTATGAAAATGGATGAAATTTCACTATGTGTATTTATTTGAAAAAATGCTTGAAGTTCAGTCTGAAAGTTGTTCCTGATTTCCTGATAGTTCAACAGACCATAGTCTAAATGCCAAAGATAAGGATTTTCCCATTTTGCATGAACTCCAAGGAACAGGGGCCTCATTTTTTTGTTTGGTAGACGTGTCTGGATAATAGGGATGAAATCAAGAATAGATCTTTACGTGAATATGAGTTGTGAGCTGCAGAATAATGTTATAATCTCCCTCCGCATAATTACATATTCTCTAGCTATCTGCTAAATTAAATATCTTAAAAGCTTTACTAAACGTATAAGAGATAGTGAAAATATTTAATTTCTTAACAGATCTGTCTGCCACGTTGTTCATAACACCACTGAAATCTCTAGCAAGAATAATTTCACCAGTAGCAAAAGATATAAGATCCTCTTACAATGCTTTAAAAAAGCCTTTTGATTATGGTTAGCTACTGACTGGGAAGGGAAGGGAACTCAGTGGGAATGTGTTACCATGGAGTCCATGTTCCAAAGCTGCCATTTCCTGAGGGCTGTAGCCAGAATTTTTGACTTCAGGGGCATTTAAATAAGTCGGGGGGCACCCCCGCACACACCCCAGGCTGTGTCAGGAGCCATGAGAGAGTAAAAGTTTTTAAAAGTGATGAGAGAGGCAAGGGTGCTGGCAGGCAGTGTGTTCTCATTTTAGTATTATTATTACTTAAAGGCTGGAGGGAAATTTAAAAGCCAGGGGCAATTGGAGAGAGGCTATTAGAAAGGAGAAAGGGGGAATTGGATAATACAACACCCAAAGTGATTGCAAAGGTGATTTCCCTTTCACCATGGCTACCTCGCTTGGCACTGAGTGGACAACTGAAAGCAACACACAGGCACACAAAGACACACACACAGAGGCAGTCATGCACGCTGCGTGCCCAAGATCACACTGAATGAATGAATAGGAACATTAAGAATCACCTCTGCTGGATCAGATCATGGAGTCCAGCAGTTTGTCGCCGGCCAGAAGCCCCCAGGGAAACCTCACGGGCAGGGCTGGAGTAGGGAACAGATGTGCCTTGCCCACAGCCAGCCAGAGGTGCACTGCTGGCAGGTAGGGCAACAGCTTGGCCATGGTGCACGAAAAAATTAAATAAATTGGCTGGATGGGAAGTCAGGAGGCCTGGGCGGTAAGTCAGGGGGCCTGGCCCCAAGATGCCCCACTGTAGCTACGGGCCTGCATTTCCTCCAGGGGAACTGATCTCTGTAGTTGTAGATCAGTTGTAAAAGAACTCCAGGCCCCACCTTGAGGTTGTTAACTCTTCCTGCTTGACAAATGAATCCAGCAAACAGAATATTTTGACGTTGATCTCGACTCTAGATCTGAAACATCACTGAACAATGCCTGGGAGTCACTCAATACTGTCTTCATTGCTTCTCTGTGTTAGCCTCAATGATGCTACCAAACATTAACTGAGGGGAGCACTGGAGAAGTGGGCAGTGGATTGAAATACCGCTGCTGCTAATTCTGTTTCTTCCCTCAAGTGATGGGCAGCATGTATTCTTCTTGGTGTGGCTCTTTTTAGCAATGTTTGCTGGGTATAAATGTATCCATCAGCTTTCATGTTCCACTATCACTGGGCAGGCAAATTGAGCTGGAACAATCAATAAGATAAGTTGTACATACCTGATTGCATTGTAGAAATGTAATTTCAGCCCTGCCTGTCTCTTGTCTTGAAAAGGATTAGTCTGCCCTGCCCTCTTTCCACCTCCTGTAATGGAGCCACTGAAATCTTCAGTGCTGGCCTCTTACAACCAAATCTCTCACATTCAGGACTGATAGTCTCGATACTTTTTGAACACAGAACTGTATCTGTACTTACTTTAAAAGTTCACCAGATAAATGAATGCCTGACTGTGCATCTTGATCTGTGCATTTTTAATCTGAAAAGAATACTCTAATGAAAAGTAGTGCAGGAAACAATATTCTCAAACACAACAAAGCTAGATTCTAAGATTTTTGCTTTGTTCAGTGTAATGAAATAACTTATTTGGCATCAGTATTATGTCTAGTGAAGTCTGTTGTTGCAAGTGAAATGTCTTTTTTTCCTTCTTGAAAAGCTGAAAACAACATATTTTGTGGTTTAAAGTATCCCTTGCGATTAGGGATGTACACTGCAAAGAATATTTTGTAGTGTTTCAATCACTTATCAGCAAAATATTTGTAGCTGTATCAGAAAAATTGAACTTTCAAATTTTATTAGACAACATTCCAGGGTTTTTTTTTTAAAGATAAAACACTCTATGGTTTTAGGGGTGATCTATGTTTCTGTGTACGGTATCTAAGGTTGCCAATTCTGGGATGGGAAATTCCTGGAGATTTGGAAACAGAGTTCAGGTGGGCAGAGTTTGGAGAAGGGAGCTTGGTGTGGATGTGATGCCACAGAGACCACACTCCAAAGCAGCCATTTTCTCCAGGAGAACTGATCTCTGTAGTCTGAAGACAGTTGTAATTCCAGGAAAGCTCCAGCCTTCACCTGGAGGCTGGCAACTCTAGCTATATCCTATGCATACTGAAGTGCAGTTATTGAGGGGTTGGAAGGGGAAAAGTGTGTTTGAATTTGAGTAGGATGTGGAGGTATGGCACTGACATGGTTGGGTGGAGGAATAAGATTGTACATGGCCCTGGATATTACGCGGGAATGCAAGAAGCTGCAATTATCTGATGGTGAGGGAAACGGTACTTGTGACAGGCCTGTTCTACCAATGGAGGGGTCTCGTACAGCCTCCTATATTTTAAACTATAAACCTTCCCTTCGGTAACCAGGTGTTCTTAAGGTAGCAAGTGTATAGGAATGGGTTTGCTGCCATGAGGTAAGTTTTGTGGTGCACAAGTAGAATATGAAGATCACTGAGGCAGGATTTTTATATAAACAGCACTTGTTTATTTACAGGTTGGTTTCAAAGAACAGAACTGGGGCTGCGGTGGCTCAGAGGTTAAGACGCTGAGCTGCAGACTGGAAGGTCTGTAGGTCAGCAGTTCGGGACCCTGTGCCATACGATGGAGTGAGCTCCCATCTCTGGCCCCAGCTCCTGCCAACCTAGCAGTTCGAAAATAAGAAATTGCAAGTAGATAAATAGATAAATAACTTTGGTGGGAAGGTAACAGCATTCCGTGCACCTTGGCAAGTAGATGAATAGATAATAACTTTAGTGGGAAGGTAACAGCGTTCCGTGCACCGTGGCATTTAGTCATGCTGGCCACATGACCACGGAAACGTCTTTGGACAATGTTGGCTCTTCGGCTTGGAAACAGAGATGACCCCCTAGAGTCGGATTCGACTAGCTTTCAAGCAAGGGAAACCTTTACCTTTTTCAAAGAACAGATCAGCAGCACAGGTCTCCAGGTAGACAAAGGAGAAACCTGGCTGAGGCACATAAATTTAGGCTAGTTATGGCTTCAGGGAATAATTTGAGTTTTATTTAATGTTTTTGGGCACAAACAGTTGTACACTGTTTAGCCACTAGGTTGGATTTTCTCACCCATACAGGATACCAGCCACACCATCCTGCCCTTTCCCAAGAGTCAGACTAAATGGTCCAAGGTCTGCTCAGGCCTAACAATCGGGTACTCTCTTCTCTCCCAGAGGTAGAGCTACTAGGCGGAGCTACCCTTCTTACTCTCTGCTCTCTTGCTGAGCAAGGCTTTGGCTCTCACTGCTCTTACTTTCCCTGAGGCACAACTCCACTCCCTCCTGCTGGGCATCCCTCCAACATTCCATCCTCCTTCTGAAAGGTGATTGGATGCTGGAGCAGCACTCCCATAGGTTCAGCTGAATTGCTGTTTTTCCCTTCCGGGGCAGGACAGCCTCCTGTGTGTCAAAGACTCTGCACATTTTCAGAGGTATTCATCTTATGTTCCAGGACTTGGTTCTTGTATTCCTCACCACCACCCCCCATTATTCTTTGTTTAGACCATAGCAAAGAGATAGATTAACTCCATGAGAGTGGGGAGAATAGGCAAGGAGAGCTTGCAACAAAGAGGATGGGGGAGTTGTGTAAAAAAATTACTACTGAAAAGAGTTGCTGGCAGAAGGATGGAAAACAAAGAGCAATTCTGCTGTGTGCAGGGGAGCAGAATTATTCATCTTCCCATTATAGTTTGCTAGCAGTGGGGAGTCAGTGCTTCATTTCTAAAGGGAGAGGTGCTGGGACTGTTCTCTTTGGAAGATATATTACAGCTCTGTAAACTGGTTAATTCTAAGTGTGGGTTGGGATGGGGATGCTGTAAGTACTCGCTGGTGAAAGACAGGCACTTTGCATACACTCAAAGGCACTGTTCTCTCACTTCTATTTCTGTTTAAAAATTCATTGCCATGGGTTGAATAACTGATTGTTGTGCCTTAGTCTTTCTCAGCTGTAAAATGTGGCCAATATTCTCTAAATGATGTAATCACAATATGTGTTATTTTACTTGCCTTGTAACCTGTGCCTTTGTCATTGGAAATCTCTGCTTGCATGTGCTTCTGATTACTTCTTTCTGTTTGGACCACATGTTGATCCTGGACTGTGTTGGCCCCAACGTTGTCAATCCTTGCTGCGGTCTGTCAGTCTGCACCCTGTACCTAGCCCACCTGCTCACATACAGGAGGATTCCCATTTTCCTCTGTGAAATATTAGGAGTCTTTCCATAGTGTTCTTTGTGTGAGATTGTGTTGAAATTCAGGTGGATTTCAGACTGCTGACACACTTTTTTTAAAGGCAAAAAAGTCAAGAATTTTATGTTATC